TCGCCGTAGCACACTCAGCGCCACAAACTGGTGCAGGGACACGCTCTTTCACGCGCTTCTGAACAAAATAAATAAATAAATAAATAAATAAATAAACGTGTGGGACGAAATAACCAGAGGTGGTACTAAGATATTGAGGTGGGCTAGTTGGATATGCATGATGTAAAAATTAAATAGCGCAAAGGTTAGACAAAGGACAAAGGACAGAACATGTAGGCAGGACAAGCGCTAACTCACAACTGGCGTTTTAATAGAAAAGAAGAGAAGGAAGCAGCATAGAAATACGCCGAAAAAGGAAGAAAAAGGTTTATAATAAAAGGAAAAAGTGAAAGGTATATACAAGAATGAATAAAAGAAAAGAGAAGAAAATGAGAGAAAGGGGAGCTGCGTAACTAAATTAATTCCTGGGAATATGTTGAAATTAAGAAAAGGCTGTAGCTTAAAGAAAGAAGAAGTTGAGAAGACTAGAAGTTCCCGCTGAATCAACCTCAAGTTGGCCACCGAAGGTAAGTTAATTCTTTTTCAGTTAAAGCCACTGAAGGTGCACTCACACAGGCGTCTTTCTTGCCTTTGATGGTTAAGGCCTCGTAGATTTCTCTTGAAGTTTTATCGCGGAACCGTCGTAGGATTTTCGTTTTTGTCAGGATCGGTAGGCATTTACAGTCTCTAACATGTACTGCGAGATGTCCCGCTGGATTTGAATTGAGTGAGGAGGCGTGTTCCCGCAACCTGGGGTGCTATGTTGCGCTTTTTGCACTCCCAGGAGACTTGGAAGAGGGAAGTGACGTCAACGACACAGCAAATGCAGATTGGATGTTGACAGAAGAAAACGAAATCAACACCCAATCTGCGTTTGCTGTGTCGTTGACGTCACTTCCCTCTCCCTAGTCTCCTGGGGTGCTATGTTGCGCTTGTTGGACTCCCAGGAGACTAGGAAGAGGGAAGTGACGCCAACGACACAGCAAACGCAGATTGGATGTTGACAGAAGAAAACGAAATCAACACCCAATCTGCGTTCGCTGAGTCGCTGACGTCACTTCCCTCTCCCTAGTCTCCTGGGAGTGCAAAAAGCGCAACATAGCCCCCCTGGGAGTGCAAAAAGCGCAACATAGCCCCCCTGGTGTTGACGCAGCGGCCTGTCTGCCCGACGTATATCTTGCCACAAGTGAACGGTATTTCATAAATTACCTGGCTTTGGCAAGGTACATATAATTGCTTGTGTTTCACGGTGCACGGTACTTCTCGATCTTGCGGATTATTTATCTTTGGACACAGCTTCTTGAGCTTGTTAGGTGCAGAAAATATGACAGGGATGCTATATCTAGACGCCACCTTTTTCAGGTTATGCGACACCTGGTGGATATAGGGTATCACTGCAGGACGCTGTCTTGGCGATTTTGTATTTTCCTTTCCCTTTCGAGGGCGGATCACTCTTTCAACTGCCTCACACAAGATGGTATTTGAATAGCCAGAAGTCGCAAGCCGTTGTAATTGCTCTTCAAAGCTCTTTCCCGCCTTGTGTTCGCACGATTTCTTGAGGGCCTACGAGCTACCTACAGACTTCTCCCTACAATTTCTCGATCTACAACTAAAATTCCAAGAATACCACTCGTGTTGGATGTATAAACCGAGGTTGAAGAAAAGATTACTTCAATATGAGTCTTCGCATTCAAAGCTCATAAAGACGGGAATCATCAACAACTGTCTCAACGCGGCCCTCCAGAAATCGTGCGAACACAAGGCGGGAAAGAGCTTTGAAGAGCAATTAGAACGGCTTGCGACTTCTGGCTATTCAAATACCATCTTGTGTGAGGCAGTTGAAAGAATGATCCGCCCTCGAAAGGGAAAGGAAAATACAAAATCGCCAAGACAGCGTCCTGCAGTGATACCCTATATCCACCAGGTGTCGCATAACCTGAAAAAGGTGGCGTCTAGATATAGCATCCCTGTCATATTTTCTGCACCTAACAAGCTCAAGAAGCTGTGTCCAAAGATAAATAATCCGCAAGATCGAGAAGTACCGTGCACCGTCAAACACAAGCAATTATATGTACCTTGCCAAAGCCAGGTAATTTATGAAATACCGTTCACTTGTGGCAAGATATACGTCGGGCAGACAGGCCGCTGCGTCAACACCAGGTTGCGGGAACACGCCTCCTCACTCAATTCAACTCCAGCAAGACATCTCGCAGTACATGTTAGAGACTGTAAATGCCTACCGATCCTGACAAAAACGAAAATCCTACGACGGTTCCGCGATAAAACTTCAAGAGAAATCTACGAGGCCTTAACCATCAGAGACAAGGAAGACGCCTGTGTGAGTGCACTTTCAGTGGCTTTAACTGAAAAAGAATTAACTTACCTTCGGTGGCCAACTTGAGGTTGATTCAGCGGGAACTTCTAGTCTTCTCAACTTCTTCTTTCTTTAAGCCTTTTCTTAATCTCAATATATTCCCAGGAATTAATTTAGTTACGCAGCTCCCCTTTCTCTCATTTTCTTGTATTTTCTTTTATTCATTCTTGTATACACCTTTCACTTTTTCCTTTTATTATAAACCTTTTTCTTCCTTTTTCGGCGTATTTCTATGCTGCTTCCTTCTCTTCTTTTCTATTAAAACGCCAGTTGTGAGTTAGCGCTTGTCCTGTCTACATGTTCTGTCCTTTGTCCTTTGTCTAACCTTTGCGCTATTTAATTTTTACATAACCAGAGGTGTCCACCCCAAGCGAATCGCACATGAAGGCACCCTACAGTAAGAACAATATGCCCACTCTTTGCAGAGAGTTAGCTTGGGGGCAGGCTGTTTTCCCACTTGCTAACTGCGCGGTAGAGTCCAGACCCCTGGTGAACTCACGTTCAGCAAACTCAACGCGTCATCTATCGTAATAAATTATGAACTATCACTCACGCACTCTCAGCTCGGTTTTGTCTTATTATATGAGCCCGCGGGCGAGTATCTTTCTTTTCAATTTTCCCAAAATACATTGTTGCGAAGCCATCGTCCAGCCTAATCGAGTACTTCACGTCCTAACGCGGATTGAAGTTTGTAAAGAAAAAAGAATAATTATGATCATAATAATAAAATTGAGGACCCTACGAGCCTACGCATTGTCAAACAAGATCTGACAGGCACTCTGCCTGCGTTAAAGCCAATAAGCGGAATCGCTCTTTTGTCGTACAGCGTGCTTTCAAAGCGAGCTGTGCAGCCGGGAGCAAACTTCGATGTTGTAGCAAATTTCGCCCAAATTGGGCAGGGATGAGTGCCCATACCCTTGTGCAGAATGCAGGCTCGATCGAACAACAACACACTAAGTTTGAAATCGACGGGGTGGGGACAGTGATGTCTCGTATCGTCTCCTTTGATTTTTCTTTTTAACATCCCGTTTCGAAGGTATCCTCATTTGCTTCAAAATTGAGTTTGAAGCCAGAAGCTTTCAGGGTATGTGGGAAGGACACTTTGTTGCAACATGCGGGAACACGATAGTCGTTTTCCCTCTTCGGCTTTGCGTGGTCGTATGGGCTTCGAAGGAGGGGGAAAAGCGGGGACTTAATTAAGCCGAACTTTGAGCTGGAATTTAATTTGGAGGCTATAGTGCTCTATCCGAACCTTTGATAGACGGGAGAGCGGAGTGAAGCGTAAGATGTATTTTAGTTTCAACTTTGCTCAGATAATGGCGATGTGTAAAATTCAATAAAAATACCAAAAAAAAAAAAAGATTACGAAAGTTTTATTATTAGAGCACACTACCCAGAGCTTTCGATGTTTTCCGTTTGTACACCTTTGTCAATAGTATTTATATTTTACAGGTAGTTGATAGTTAGGATACGTATAGAGTACGATGTTTCTTAAATTAATACCAGTTTAATTCAATTATTTATTGATTAGTATAAAGAAATTGATTCACGGCAATACAATTACATTAGGAATTTGCGTAAACGCTCAAATAAATTAGAATCAATTTATTACTGCTAATATTCTCATAACAAAACTCGTAACTTAGTCATAACTTGTAGTAGTACATCCCCTCCCCTTTGTTTCATTGTACGAGGAACGATTATGACTTTGCGGGATCGAACGGTATCATCTTATCATACAAATTACAGCTCTGAAGAAAATTGTCTTAGTCGTAAGTATGGCTTAGGAAGTATCGTTACGAACTCCCAAAAGTATATTTTTGATCATAGTTTTTTTTTTTTTTTAACATTTCATTACATGATTTTGTGACGTCATATATCTTTGCGGTCTTACTGCACTTTTGTGGCATTGTTGCCTACTGTTCCTGTCATATCCACATCCTCTAGTTTGAGAGTGTTATTGTGTCCGTTTTGCAAACTGCTGTCGTTGCAATAATATGTTCGTTCGGGACAGATAAGACTAACGTGGTTTGTTGGGGTGATTGTAACCGTAGTCGAATTACTGCATTCATCTCAAACTTTCTTGGACATCAACGCTTCGGCGCATACACTAAAATGATGGTTTCAACTGAACAACAAACATCGCAATGTTCCCCGGGAATATTTTAGAAGACAGTCATTAAATATCAATAAGCAGCACTTGAACTTTTGAATGCGTATAGTTTTTATTCCGCGGCTCGATCCATAATTTTTTTTTTCATTGGATTCGATAGGTTAAATTTACAAAATTATTTATTTATGCTTTTTGCTGACAAAAGATCGTAATGTTATCGAGGACTGTAATTGCCTGTGCATCCTAGAACGCAAGTCAATTAGATCTGTTTTTAATATTTACTTGAAAAATTTTATTCCACGGAATGTTCCAGAAAGTTGGTTAAATGGGTTAGATATTGGAAATTGAACGAAACACTTCCTCAGTAACGTAAATGGTTATCGCGAAATTCCCAACCAGCGCCCACACCCGATAGATCGCCCACCTCATATTTCCCTTTTATTTCTCCACCATTGGTGGGCGTTCACCGCGGATAGCAGTCTGCCTTGCCACACGTTCTGTAGACGCTTCATCCTTCTCTCTCTTTGTGTGCAGGGGTACGGCATGGAGGACATCGAACCCGGTCCGGGCGACGACAGTGTCGTCGATGGCCACAGTCCCTATCGGCGCACCGTGGGTGGGAGCGCTTGGCAATTCCCGAAATTCACAAATTCGGTGAGTGTCCTCGTTTTCTTTCTTGAAGTACAGAATGCTTTGTAACGAAACACACTATTGTCGAGACCGGCTATAACGAAGTCAACGGGAATCAGAAACCACTTCGCTATATCTGCTATTTCGTTATAACCGACTTCGGTTATAACGGAGTGCAAAAGGGAATGGAAAATCGTGACCGCATCGTTGTAATCGGTATTTCGTTATAACCGAGTTTGTTATAACAGGACTTCGTCATAACTAGTCGCGACAGTACTCCCAAAAATGTGCCCATTCGTGCGCCCATCCGTCCGCTCGAGCATAGTCCATGGCAGGGCATGCCAGGACAACCGATTTAGAAGTCAACTGTCAAGGCGGGATGTAACCTGATGTCACGTGATGTTGTATCACGTGACGTCATGGTATAACACGACATCGCGACTTGACGTCGTGACGTCTGTCACGTGATCACATCGCGTGGCGTCATGTCACATGACGTCACGGTGCCACGTGACATTTGTCTACTAAAAGTAATTTAAACAATCGCTCCGTAAATACCGCGTTACACGCATTATAGGACTTTGGAGACAAAGGTAACGCAAATAATTGTGTCTACTCATTTCTTTTTCTTGCTATCCCTTTTGATTGAGGCTCTTCGACGCAGTCTCCTAAAGAAAAGAAGAAAAAAAAAAACGCCTCTTGTGAGGCCGTCAGTCGCCGTGAAATCTGGGCGTGAATCGTCGTGGTTCCACGAAACGTGCCCCCAGCGAGCCCACGTTGAACACCTGCTGCCACGATTGAACAATGGCGCAATTAAAAGTCGGAACCTCGGGCGAAACCCTGCGCGCGCGCCGCGACAAAAGCTCTTCGTTAGATCGCTGCGCTGCAGCACGCGCAACGAGCTCGGTGTTTCGACGAACGCCCCACCAAATTAACGCCGGAGCAATAAACAACGCGGGAACCGAGACAGCGTGACAGTGCAGAAAAAAAGAAATGAGTCCGCGCGCACTAAGCCTAACTTGACAGTCGGTGAAGTCGTGAGCGTGCGACGCGAGAGCTGCATCCTGCATCCCGCGAGGAAATGCGCGACACCCATAGCCACACACACACACACACACACGTGCAGGGATGTTTGTTTACTCAGAGTGCAGCCCACTTGTTATGCAAATGAGCCGCGTGCGGGGGTTGGTCCGTTTTAAGCCCGGAGAAGGCAGCGGCACACTTGGCCTCCGCCAAATCCCTGCGTCAGGAGCGTGTTGAGACTGTAACTGGGTTTCACCCGACGATGGACCGCAACGGCCGCTACGAGCCATGCCAACCAATCCAGCGCTGGCAGCGTGACTCGTAGCACCCGCTGCGGTCCAGCGTATGGTGGAACGGAGTGTGGACTGAAGGCGCACCCTTTTGGAGGACTTGATGAAACACAGGGAGTCGCGTTTGTCCGCCCTGTAATGGGGAATATTGTGTCGTCTTTGTTTCGGAGAGTTAGGCGGGAGATGAGATTTGGGAAAGGGAGAATGGGCGATAAGGCAGGGACCAACCAATGGTGTTCGCTTTAAAATGCTTCTTAAAGGGATTGTCCGGTCGAAACCGGAAGTATTTAAGTTTTTGCGCTTGTTACTTCGAGGGAGCCGTCATATAGACAAACGTCACTTTTATTTTGATATATAATCTCCCCTTATTAATTAAACCATGTCATGAGCGTATGTACGAAACTGCACCCCGAATTTCGCCAGTGTCAATGGCTGACATCCTTAGCTACTGCGTGACGCCACAAAACGCGGGTGGTCGGGATAGAAGGCGTTGGTCGATGGATGTCTTGTATTTTGTTTCGAACGATATAATCCCTTTTAATGCAGTTCCCAAGCGTGTGCAACAAAAATCGCGCCTTTTAGCAGGATATTACTCGAAAACAGCCATGAGCTTCGAGCAAACGTATGCTGTTTCCCGCAAACACAACTGCGACGGCCACCGATCGAACTAGGAGCGCTTGCAACGTAAAGGGTTCAGATTTTGCCTCTGAAGCGGCACCTAGGTACACGAAACGGCATCTGGGTACAGATATCGGCGGATCCACTGAATCGGTGATGAGGCAGCGGGTTGTTCCCTCGGAGGCGATGTCCGCGGGTCGAAGGCAAACGCCGAATCCTTCAAATGCAAGTCGTCACTTGACTTGGACGAGCTTGGTGAATCGTAGCCACGCTTCATTTTCACACGCGGGTCAAACAGAATCGGGCTGAACGCGTGTTAAATACAAATTATGGCATCGTTTCTAGATGGCCTAGCTGTTGGTTTCGGTTTCGCCGCATAATCAAACCGATTGATCCGATTTGGGCGAGGAGTGGATGGACGTAGTTGAATATCGTTGGCACGGCATCACACCTCAGCTTACGAGCCTTCTGTCCGCTTAGAGCTCAGCTCGTAGCTCTCTTCCGTGAGATGATTGCTGCATAAGCGGGATCCCGATCTTGACGGGAATCCAGTCCCTGCGCACGGCGACAGTCCATTTTGCTCGTCACTACACGTCTCGCGAAAAAGTGTGGAACGTCACGTCTTGGCGCGCACGTGCTGCCCGGTGGTTGTGGCACCCAACCGTGCAACAAAAATCTCACCCATTCACGAAACAAGTCGAGCGCAACAACAAAAACGAAGCACGCTGCGCCATTCACTCGCAGGCAAACAACGAGACGCAAATGTTCGCTTCGCGTTGTGTAACGTCAGAGCTCCAATGTTGCCAACGAAAACATCGTTTGCGCTAGGATGTGATTGGGGCAGTATTACTCATTCAGAGGGCCACATAAAATTCAGATGTTGCACGTACGATGCGCCTCGAGGCAATAGCAATGAAATTCAATTGTTTTCTCCAATACAAAATTTGACCGGACAATCCCTTTAACTAATCTTGTTTATCGCGAGAGTGAGTTGTGTTCGCTTGAGTATATCTTGCCGCGGTATACTATTTCGATGCCAGTGCTGGATGAACTAGGGAGCAAGCAAATGTTTGGCGAGAAGAGTAAAATACTTATGAAAGGATGACCGGGGAAAGCAATGTGTAGATTTAGCTTATGGTGCAGTTTTATGAAGGTAGCGTGTCGTACGAGCGATCTAACGTAGACAGTTGAGGTTCTACTATAACGATCTCGGGTCATTTACAAGATGCAGCAGGGTATGAAATTAACTCGAGCATTTCAATATCGCAATCTCGCGGCAACATGGCCTCTAAACGCCAATCTTGTCATCTTGATGTTTCGAGGCGTAACTTTCTATTTCACAACAGTTGGGAAAAAACGGGTATATTAAATACCACACCTTGGTCCTAGTCACAGCACTGCAAAATGTGCAACCGAACATAAAAAAAAAAATAAAACCACACAAGTTTGGTAAATTTACGGGGCAGCCCGCATCAGCCTCGCCTTCTTTTCCACCGAGTGCCCCAGTTTCGCACGGGGCGGGGTGTTCGTGTGACTCGGTTGCCAACCTCTTATCAGCTTCCACAGCCCACTTCCAGTGTTGCCTGCCGAATATTTAGGTACGCAGTTTCGGAGGGGGTTCTCTCCCGCACGGCTCCTCCGTCATAACTCAAGCCTCTGGGAAATTTATGCCTCGCGCTTTTGACAGCTCGCCGAAGCGGCCCCCAATACTCCCCCCCCCCCCCCCTTCAACCCCAACTCGCATACGCAGCCTCTTACTGATACAAACACACTCACCTTCCAGCTTTTGCTCTTGTTCCCCCTTTTTTTATTGCGATACAGCCGCACAGACAGACTTATAAACACGAGTGCAAATACATACACATACACACGGCTATACTTTTGTTCATCTTAAGATGGAGCGCAACGGACCCTACGCGGCATCCCAGCCAATCCAGATGCTGTAAAAGAATCACGTGCCTGCGCGCTACGCAGCTCGTTTCTCCGTTTTCTAAATGTCACGACACGCCCACACGGCATTGGATTGGTTGAAGTGGCCGCTTAGCGTCCATCGCGGTCCATCGCACCCAAACAAAAAGAGGGGAGCCCTCAAAATCGTCGATATCTTTTTTTTTTTCTTCCCCCTTTTGTATTTTTGCCTCGGATTGGCTCGGCTTCTCTTGGCTGGGGCTAGCGGGTCTTCTCTCGTCGGCCGACCGACCGGAAATAGCGCCGCTCGGCGACACCGGACGTAGAAACCGCGGGAACTACTTCCGGTCTCTCGTGGTGTCCCCCCGGCAGCATCTCGTCTTTCCTTCTGTGGTGGCGGATTCCATTCCCGTCCTGTTCCCTAGAGTGCACCCCCCCCCCCCCACACACACACACGCACACACACAAACGCACACACTCACTCAGGGTTATCGCTGTCTCGAGGTAATTTCCGAATTCATTTACCTGGATACGTGCGCCCTCCCTTTTCCCCCTTTTTTTTCGGTAACGTAGTAACGTGGTCGGTTACGCTTTCAAAAGAGTAACGGATAACGTACTTACGTTACTTATTTGGAGTAACTGGTAACGCAGTTACGTAACTGGTTACGTCTTCTTCCCAAGACTTAACGAAGATTACACTTCAATCTTTCTTCCGTGTTTCTAGGCGCCAGCCTCTGAATTCTTGCACTACTCATTCCCCATACATTCAAAATTTTGACACTCTTTTCCACACGCGAGCATTCCCAGATTAGAAAAAAAACCAACCCCCACGCCTTCTGTTCCAACGTCGAAATTTTACAGGTGCGTTGATGGACACCTGCAACGTCGGAACAGTAAAATTTAATAATTCATAAGTAACACACAACGTAGCCGGAACGCGTTACTTTTAATTTAACCGAACGTAGGTCGGTTTCGCGTTCCTTTTATTTTCTCGTCTGCGCGTTCCCTTTTATTTTCTCGGCTAGGTGGCGCAAGCTACCGTCAGTCACAAAGGGTACAGCCATTAGCATCCATCCATCCAGGTGGTGACGCTATGGTAGCTGTCAGTTTAAGAAACGCGGGTCGGCGGCGCGTCCCGAAAAATCAATGCGGAGCGCAAGTCCGTCTGCTTCTGGCACGGGGGTT